TTTTATCCTTAGGGAACCTGTGCATCACTATACCTTCTCCAGATTTGACAGAGCATTTCTATGCCACACATCGAAGCATTCTGTTGCCAGACAAGACCAGGAATTAGGCTTAAACAACGTAAAGAATACCCAGGCTCCTACGCCTAAACGTCGCGGGAAGGGTAACAATATGGCGGCCTTCAATCACGTGACCGCTCTGCGCCAATCATGGTTCAGCGCGACGAGATCACAAGTTGGCCAGACTCTCTCTATATACGGCTCTGTTTACCAGAGTCAGAAATCTAAGGTTTTTGTCAATATGATTATAGGTAAAAATCATTGTAATTAAGGGGAAATTTTACGTCTTGGCATAAATCCTTTAAGGTTTATATAGGAATTATCGGGAAAAATTAAAACCTTGATTGATTTAGTGTCAACACGAAGATGCTATAATATATTGTATCATTTTTGTAAAACATACAATATAGCTATATTTTTATGGATTTTTTGTGTCGAATATAACTGTAGCTGAACAAATGGCACCCACAACGTCCAAAGCAAGCAGTATGTATTATATTCAAAATAACAACATACTGAACTTAAATTTGCTGTGGCACGGTTATGAATGGTCGTTGTGTAACCCAACCGACTATATCGACATTAGACAGGTTCCGCAGCCAGCCGGCTATCTCCCCGCAGCCGGTTACGTCTTCACTTTATGTGTAGCTGTGACGTATCCATATTCTAAACAATCGTGGATATCCTGTTGCGGAACCTGTCTACTGTCTAACTTGATTTCCATTTCCACAGTTTGTATATACACGTACAACTACTGATGGGTCATGAGAAGTTCTTCGATATCTCCCCTTCTCTGTAGTCCGGAATGTCCATCATTAAGTATATGCGGCAAACACGTATTTATTGGCTCCTCTACAATTTCATCGATACAGTCATCATCATTCCGGATGCATATGTTGTGGTTTACACAAGACGATTATATGGTATGGCACAGTAATTCAAATTCTAAAATATCAAGGTGTTGTAATCTTCGAAAACGACCCTTCAACTGTCCAAAAGCTTTTGCAGAGCTCAAACGTCTATTAAAATATTTTATGTAGTGGGGTCAATGCACCATTATCTTTGTGAGGAGTCATTAACCAGCTGAGTAGAAGATACGCAGAATCTCCGAGCAAAATATCTTCCTCCCTGAATTTTTCGCCACTCCCTTTAAATACAACAGAGTTCCGGAATACTGTAGAGTCATCCCGTGTACAAATGTGTGAAAAGGAGTTCATGGTCACAAACTCCTTGCAGCACTACAGAATGGTACTTTTTCCTGTTGATATAGGATACAGGATTATCCTCTTTTTTCGGAGCTTTTATCGATATGTGAGATCCATCAATAGCCCCAATCACACCGGGAAATTTACAGTTGTCTGCAAACCCTTTGGAAATAACATCTCGTCTGCAGTTTGATGGCCAATAAATTTTGTCTTTCATCAAATTATTAATAATACAGGAGCACACCCTATATTGTGTGCAGTTGACTTGGAAATACCAAATCTATCAGAAATAGATCTGAATGAATCAGGTGTCCCAATATACCATAGGAAAACCATTACTTGCTTGGAGATTGCAACAGGGGTCATGCCATGACTGTTGGTGTGGATCTCGGGGCATTCGCCAAGGCTGTCAACAAATGTTTTGAAAGTGTCTCTTGATCATCGAAAGTGGGATTTAAAGTCGTCGAGTGATTGGGAGGGGACAATGTGTTCTGCATAGTTTTCAATTCTTGGAATTTTATCCCTTCTGTAGAGCATGTTCTGTGCCATGAAAATAATATCATCGTCATCCTCTTGCAATTGCTCGTATATAACATTCCAAAGAGCCGTTTCATTCTGCAATATAGCTACTGCTACCATAGCCCGCTTTCTACGATTGTATTGACGAATTTTGACACCATGACACTTTACCCTAAAGTTACACCATATCATTCGTTAATACGTGACAATGCGCATGCTCAGTATGACACTCTCGGGCCAGGCGCGAGTAAGCTTGAGTGAGTAAACGAACACGCTAAAGATTACAGTCATAGACAACAAACTTTTCGTTCTCGTTTCATTTAATATTCTTCAAAAATTTAGTACGGCCCTATAAACCATTCATCTCTTGTGTTTTTCTTAATACATTAATGTATATATAGTTTGCCCGGCTATGTTGTATTGGTGTTATTTAAAATCCGCTCTCTGATGGTCTCTCTCCACTAATTCATTTGCCATCTCTTCCCATGTTAAAACACGAAATTCAACTATAACTTTTTCCAGAAATCTCATTGAAAGCTTTCCAATATGTCGAATGAAAGCTTGACCAATTCTCAATGTCCTAAAATTTAATTATATGATGACCATGAAAATTTTGAGCTACTAAAATTGAAAGTAGACTACTACCGGTTATACTCATCCGCTAGAGTTTGGCACTTCACAAAACGACTATTTTTAGAAATAGCCTTCCGCCTTTAGGTCTCTCATCATCTCACCAAATCTGAAAGATAATGCAATTTCAGACTTCAAATTCCAAATCTAGACCAAACGTTACTCAAAAATTGGCATGCAAAAACCCCAAAAGGGAGAGAGAAACAAGATTTCTATACAATTATTTGCATAAAATGTTTTAGTGGAGTGAGTCCTATATACTGACATTCTTCCGTAAGGAGTTGTCGTTCTTTGCAGTCACATTACAGTGGTCCATGACCATAGGATACAGTTTTATGAGTGGTCTAACCATTGCAACAGTCGATATGTTGAGGCTTTCTTTGGTAGTTTTTACCAGAGTTTCAAAACATAGCCCTACATCATTTAAGAAGAATGCTTACACTGGACCAAGAAGTGGATATGCTATCCCACCGTCTTCCTATGCAACTGAAAGGAAAGGAACTAGATCTACCAGGCCTAGTAGTTCTATTGAACAAATGCAGGTATGTAGCCTATGTAGTGTGCTGTTTGGGCCGGGCTGAACTTTCAACTAGCATGTAGATTCGGGTCGAATCGTCTCAGCATACACATTCGCGGCAAATCGACCCAATATAAAATGTGAATTACATTTAACTTATATATTGTTAAAATAACTTTTTTTTTAATGAGAAATGCACTTAAGTATTCTTTCAATTTTGCAAACACCTATTGCAAACACCTCTCTTGGTCTTTGTACAGTGGCCCCATTTTTTTTTAATGTAAAGTGAAACAACGGAGTTATACAGTGGTGTAACCTATTTTCGTGGATGTAAGGATTCAACACCGAATTTCGTCAAAGTTAAAAAAAACAAAATTTTTTTTTTATGTCTTAGATGTTTCCTCAGATATTTTACAAAATGATTAAAATTGGTTTATTTCGATTTTCTTTATGAATCCCTCACTTTGACCCATATTTCATGAGCAACCAACTCGGCAACGGTGGCAGAATGCGCCACCTATTTTCGTGTACAATGTTTGATCTAAAAATAAGTCGAGAAAAACACATATGCATACCCAGTGGTATAATTAAAGTGATACTTCCTCTTAGAATGAACATAAAATTTAAGTTCTTCAAATGGTCAGTTACAACAGAATCCCTGTAAAATGTGGAAAATTCACTAAGCGTTTTTCAATAGTTAATTGCATATTTATGGATAATGACTATGATTATATAAGGATCCCGTTGTTAGGGTTGGGACAATCAGACTTGACCATAAACGCAGGTTATTTTCCGAGGCCAAATATATTTTTTTCCATGAAATCAATTGGGGCAGTGGTGAAATAACATTTTTTCGATTGGGGCAGAGCCCTTTTTCAAAATGGCCACGAAAACATTCCATCTTATACACTATTTTCTAGGTTTTTGGGTTACTGGTTCCCGAAAGCAAACATTTTATCATTTACGAGTTGCCGCCATCTTTAAATCCAACATGGTAGTCAAAATGGCCACCAAAATAAGATTTTTATCGCATACCCGTGCTTATTAATATGACAAACCACCATCAGAAACCCCGAAAATACAAAGAAACAACACGAATTAGATTTTGATAATTTATTTATATTTCAATAGCCTATGATTTTATTCTATACCAGTTTACTGGATGAATGCAGATCTTAATAAATGTTCTACATCTTCTACCATATTCTCGGTTTAAGAACGTCGGTGATTGAGCGAATAAGTTCAGAATTTGTGAACTTTTCAAATTTGAATTTCCCTGAATACATTTTAACTCTGCGTTTTTCCCTAATATCTGGCGCAATTGTACATCTGAGGTAGGCAACCTCTGCTAATAACTGTTTTTGTGTTTAGTCTGTTCACCATAGCCGGTGTTACAGGTCCGCTGTGTTGCTTACACGTTTCTAGCAATTGTAGACATCATTTCGTTTTTTTCTTCTTAAGTTCTTCCTTCTTTTTGATAGCAAGTAGCTTCGCTGCCCCAACTGTCTCTAGGAAGTCCTTCTCGAGCTGTTTCGCTCTTTGTACCTCTTCCCAATTACGCCCCCCATTTCCAACAACGTTTTTTCTAGAGTGTGGTGTTATTTTGGTCATACCTCCTGCTGATTTGACTCTGTTGTCGAGTTATGCAAATTCTGATTCACAGCCCATATTTGTGAGAGAATTCCTTCGCCAATTCAGCCACTCTTCCAAACCTGTTTGCCACAAAACCACGGAAGCCATGACTTTCAATGTTATTTACTCGCATCCACTGTTTGAACTCGTAGAGGGAGACCGAATGGGAAGCATGGGAAGGTGAAAGCAGTTTTGCTAAAGCAATAACACCGACTGTATGAACACTGGATGAGGCTGATCTCAAAATTTTCTTGCAGTCTATAAGCTTCTGCACACCAATTTTTTGTTCAGTCTCTTTGAATACTCGCTCTATTCCATGGTCTATTCCGAGCACAAGATGCCCACAGCAATTTTCTCTGCATTCACCCCTAACTCGTCTAACATGACTTTACAATCAGCTGCTCTGTCTACACTAGTGTTGGCCAATGTCGCAAAGGTTTCTAACTTGAATTCATAAGCAGTTGCACTGTCCTGACCAGAATGTGATATGTTTTCAACATACCCTGTTGTGAATGACTTTCGTGTCTGTGTGGGTCCAGCTTTGTGATGTGGTCGCCTTTAACGTGAAGCATATCATGACCGGCTGCTTTGGTTGCATCATCAATACCGACAGTTACTACTGAGTCGGCTTTATTCAGTAAATACTCTGCTAACATCTCCAAATTAAGATAGTGGGCATCTTCCAAGTAATTTGATAAGCATTTCCGAGTAGGCATAACGTAGGTCAAATCTCCACATCGTCTTCGTTTTGGCTTAGGCGATTCACAAGCATCACTTTCTTCATCCGATGATTCCTCACAGTCCAAATCTGAAGATGGGATACACCAATTCTGACCAAAAACTCCATTCGCGATATTTACTGTTATACTAATCAAATCGTTCGATGATATCTTGAATTGTGACATAGACTGCACCAAACATCTTACTAAGGCCTCGTTCAAAGTTTTATGTCCTGTTCATATTTTTACAGAAGGAAATGAATGTGCATAGGTATTTTCGGTGGCAAGTGGATCTTTCTTATTAGATCTAGTGATGGGTATTGATGCGTCAATATTGAAGCAATTGTCGACTGGATATCCAAAATCAGGATCGCTTATGTTATCATCTGTAATACCTTCGAGAGCATGCCTCACCTGATTCATTCGCAAGGTTTCTTCCGTGTATTGTTCCTTCTTCATATCCATTCTCTGGTTTTCATAATCATTTTGAATTCTGATAGCTATGCTGAGAACATCCATAGGGTATACGTTTTTTTGATATCCAATCTTCTTTTATCTCTTCAGCAACAATTACACTTGCATCCTTTCGACTGATGATTTTAGATCCACCTTTGCGCCCGGATTTCCACAGCGACAACATTCGACCGATGATCAACTGTCCTGTTGGAAGTTTCGTTTTTGTGAGGAAAGTTGGTTCGTCGCGGTAATTCACATCAAAATATTATCTTAAAGTGTATGGAAAGTCAATTATGGGCCACTTGACACCTACCGTGAATGTTTCTATATATCCTATTGTATCCAATTCCAATCTTATAATCGATAATAAAGATACATGTATAAGTAAATCAAAGACGATTTGTGTTTAATTCCCGTTTGTTTACAAAGACAGTCCGTCATTACGTTGTATTGATCACATGACCACATGACGTCATTTTTGGAACCTTCGTTAACCTCATAACCTTGATAGGCTACGTTAATGTTTACAATATTTACATCAAAATGGTGAAGCGCTGTGTCTCGTAATTTTGCAGCTATACCTGTAAAGAAAACAGTTTACACGGCTTTCCAAAAGATACTGGTATGGGTCAAATTTGTACAATTGTAAAGGGCTGACTTTAAGGCACCGACTGAAAACTCTCAGTCTGTTATTTATTTCACTCTTTATTTTTATAGAAAATATTCTAAATTGAAAAGATAACATAGCCAGAAAAGTATTTGTAGGAATGTAGGAACTCATGATATTCTGAAAATTACCTATTGTCTTTAAAATAAATTATAATTAAGTTACATGTGTTATAAAATAGTTTTAATCTTATAATGACTTGTTCCGTATATCACTTATAAAATGAGTGTGAAGAAATCATACAAATAACGACAATATTTCTCCACTATTTACCGCATTCATCATGGAATATCTCAAAGACTAATCAAGATGAGATATGAATATTTTTCCATGTAGAATTTCAAGATTACGAAAAATGACCAAGTTATGCGATCGGGTTGTATTTCAACGAAAAAGAAAAAATAATTTCATTTGCCATGCCCACTTTTTAAAGACCTTAAATATTGCATAACTTTCTTATTTTTCAATATATTTTGGTTCTGTTTTCACTTTTCCAACTACTAGTACACCATAACCCATCTACAAAAACAAAATTATTTTTTTTTAATTAATTCTATTTTCCGTTTGCATTGCTAGTCAAACTGAGTAACATCATCTCAAAGAATGGCTATGCAAAATCTTCAAACGTGCAAAGTATTTATGCCATAACATGTCATAATTGTACACAAGACCTCGCAGATCATTCGTCAAAATCCTTTTGAAGCGGGGATTTTTAATACAAAATTGACGCTACTAAACAGTCATTATTTTCCCAATCGATCTCCATTTTCATGAATTTCGACAGTGTCATCGCCCTGGTTGGCCTTTCACTGTCATTCTCCCCTTCTCGAGGACGCCAGACTGGCTCAAACTGGTAGCCCACCACACCCCCAAACATTTCGTATTCATCTTCTTCCTATTCGGAATGAGATTAACTGTGAGTGCTTGACGAATCGTTTTCATTATAATACAAAAGCCCTCCACATTGTTTATCTGTCAGTGTAGCAAGTAAAGATGCTCTTGGTGCAGTTGTATACCTGCGACTCATCAATACTAATGGTCAGATTCATGTCTCCTTCGTGAAAGGATCTGCTAAAGTTAAGCCTCATTTTTTACAAGATGGCCGACACCAGGTAGTAACAACACAAATCAGCTTTGACTATTTTCTAGAAAAATATGGTTTACAATCCCAAGAATTAAATCTAGGACATTTATTTTGTGAGACCAAAATCCAAAGAAGCTATTTGTCAAGTAAGGAAATAGTATATCGAATATCTCTAGCATTTACAGACCAAAACTTTTCAATATATAATATTGTATTGACATGTGACCTGTACCGGCCTGTAAATTAATTAATATACTTTCTACCTGTACGCACTGTGATACTGAAGTTAAACTCAACTCAAGACCTACACCGGCCTGCATTTATCACTCATTACCTGTACAGCCAATACATTTAATACACGATGAATGGAGATAAAAAGATTGAAAAATATTGTAACCACCAGTTCCCTCGATAAAACACTAACAAATTTCTGGAAAGACATTCGAAACCAAATAAGAACAGATATTAAGGCAGAGCTGACAGCTGAGTTGGATATTCTCAAACAAGAACTTACAGATGAGAAGAATAAAGTTAAAGCATTGGTATCAGAGAGAGACAAACTTAAAGATGAAATGCTAAACTTTGCCAAAAGACAAAACAACTTGGACAACGAAGTAAGAGCCGCAGTAATAATGGGGAATAATGAGCAGTATTCTAGGAAACGAAACATCAAACTACTGGGCATGAAAGAAAACGAAAACGAAAATCTAAGAAACGATTTTAAAAAGCTAGTCACAGAATGTGCCAGTATGAATATACCTGATAACCAAATAGTAGCAATACACAGAAGTGATACAAAAACAGATGTTATGAAGAACAGACAAGGATTTAAAGGTAAAGGACTAAATATATTTGACAATGTGACAAAACGGAATTCTGAACTCATAAATAGGCTGAAGAACAACTCTGATATATACAGTGCATGGTACTTCAATGGAAAGATTTATGCAAGAAGCACACTGGGAAAACGATATTCCTTCGAACTCTACGAGAATATAAAAGAAAGAATTGCAGCATCCACGAACAGAGCTCGACATTAAATCTTTGGTTACCAATATAAACTTTTTAAATTGTTACAATTATGTTGTTAAATCAAAGATATATGTATAGTTCTAGATATATTAATATGTATATTTAGTTAATGCTAGCATAAGTATACATATACAATATTTTGAAACACAAAAATCATTCAACGATCGCTTAATTCATTGTTAACCATTAACTAATGATATATTCATCAGAGCTCACAATCAATCATGCTAATGACGAATTTTAGTTTCGATACTTTCATTATTTTCTATATATACCAGGCTATACACATGCATTTTGCACAAACATATCTCTACAACTGCATATTCAACGTGATAATACAAAAAACAAAAATAGACACTGAATTATTTATAAAAACAACAGAAAAAATAAAAACTCAACCCCTAAAGATCTTAAATTCCCTTTAAAATTAGCTTCTGTGAATGTTAGTGGTTTGAGAGACGCAATAAAAAGAAAGAAAATATTAACATGGATTCGTGATAATCACTTTCACATAACATTTATGTTTACAAGAAACAAATAGTACTCCAAAAGACGAAATTAAATGGAAAGATGAATGGGGTGGAGAGTTTTATTTTTCACATGGTGCTAGCAACTTGGCTGGCACAGCAATCCTCTGCAAATCAGACATAACAAACATCGACATAAAATCTTACACTGCGGATGAAAACAGCTATCACAATCTTATTTTTGTAGACTTAGAGCAAATTCCATACATTTTAATAAATACATATAGTCCAAATCATGACAAAGCTCAAGAAATCTATTTCCAGAAATTACTTGATAGAATTTAAACATATCACAATCTAATTCTGACTGCAGTCAAGATCTACAAGTTATCATGGGTGGTGACATTAATAATGTATTAAACACTGAACTGGATAGATATGGAGGCAATTACAAAATAAAAAAAAGAGGCCTAGAAAAAATTAAAAACATATTAACGACTTTCGACCTCCTGGATATTTATAGATTATATAACCCAGTTAAAAAACAATTCACCTGGAGACAACCCACTCCTTCAATACACAGTAGAATTGACTACTGGCTTGTTTCAGAAAATTCACTGAAATATATAATTAATACTTCTATCAAATCTACAACATTTAGTGATCACTCAGCAATAATTTTTACAATAGATCATGCCACTGAAAAATGTGGTCCAAAACTTTGGATATTTAATACAACCAAAAGATTTAAATTATACCCGATTGATAACAGATTCATTAAACTCATGGAAATCTGATTATCATAATATATCTGATAAAAGGGGACTTAAGGATTTTTTTAAATTTAAAATCAAGAAAATAACAATTGAATATTGCAAGAAAAAACAAACAGTTACACGAGAAATTAAGAGATCGTTAAGTACAGAGCTTGAAAAACTGGAGGGAGTTTTACACCTATTAAATGACAATCAAACATACAATACCTTAAAACAATATGAAATTACCAAAAACAACTTAGATGATATTTACATGCAAGTGTCGGGATGCCAAGCAGGATTCAAAAAGCCGTTTCGTGGAATGACGTCTAAATAGAGGGTCTACACACTGGATTTATTTGGTGATGATAAATAACTATGATGAAGTTTTTCAATTTTATATACCAGTGGTTTTCTACAAAATACAGAAAAATAAACAAATGTCAGAATATATGAAAGTCTGATTTGAATTGCCACGAATGTAAGCTTCCCGAATGCGGTACTCGAATATATACTTACAAACGCTGGGGCTTCCAAGTTTTCGATTAATTTCTGGAAATGTTGTGTCGTTATTCGATTCAATTAAAACAATGGCGTCAAGAATAAACAGTGTGAATCACGTGATCTAACATAGGAACCGCTCAATTACAATCGAAAATACTCGCATAATACTGAATTATTATTAACTCGGAAAATTGTTGTACGATTTTTAGCCGACACTTACATGGCTCCTCAAAAATTCAGACAAATAAAAAGTTTGAATACGAACAAAGTCATTTTAACACAAAATATTTCTATTCCCAAAACACTAATGTTCATTTTCATCTCGTGGTACTAGTAATATTAATTGGTTAGCAGCTCTTGTATATACCATTCTTTTTCGTTTGGTAGTTGCACATTGCGTTTGAGTTTAATGTCACCTCTGGTTGTAGCAATATCAACCTTGCGTACTAAACCATCTGGACTTGGATAGACTTTTTCAATTATCATTAAAGGCCATGTATTTCTAGGCGTATTACTTTCTGCTACAAGGACAATGTCTCCAACCATTAAGTTACGAACTGGTTTATGCCATTTCTGTCGAGGTTGATTATTTTGGAGAATTTCTTTTTTCCATCTTGACCAGAATTGGTTAGCGATGTATTGGACTTTTTTCCATTGTCTGTGGAGGTACAAATCTTGTCTGGTAAAAACACCTGGTGGTGATAATACTATGCCGGATTTCATCGTCAATATGTTAGCCAGAGCTAGTGGTTTTAATTCAGGGTCAGCAATTGATTCGACAGTTAGTGGTCGTGCGTTGACAATAGCTTCAGCTTCTACCATTAAAGTGGTTAATGATTCGTCGTTAAGCTGTTTGCCGTGTTGATGTAGTAAGGCTTCAAAGACTCGTCTAATACTCTGGATTTGGCGTTCCCAGGAACCGTGAAAATGTGGTGCATAAGGAATACTTGGTGTAAAGTCGATCTCACAGTCAAACTGCTTCAAAATGTCTTCTCTAATAAGAGTTTGATTTAATTCTGCTGTCAGTTTGTTTAGTTCTGTGGCAGCTCCAATGATCTGGCTACCCCGATCAGATCGGATTACCTTTACTGTGCCTCTTCGACAAATAAATCGTCTAAGTCCGCATATGAAAGAGTCAGTTGTCATTGTTTGTAGTACTTCGATGTGGACTGCTCTGCTGGATTGAAAGGGAAATATCAGCCCGTATCTTTTAACTTCAGATCTACGGATTTTTATATAAAAAGGTCCGAAGAGGTCACATGCTGAGTAGGTGAACGGTGTTGATTCTATAACTCGGTCATCTGGTAGATCGTTCATCATCTGTGGAGTTGATCTGCCTCGTAATTTGGAACAAGTTATGCATTTAGATATATAATGTCTAACTGCTGAAGGTCCATTAATTAACCAATATTTATCTCGTATCGAGTAGAGGGTGATATTTCGACCAAAATGTGCTTGTCTTTGATGGTAATGTTGAATTATTAATAATACTAAGTGCCCTTTCTTTGGTATGATGATTGGGTGTTTTTCAGTGTAGGAGAGCGCTGAATTTTTGAGTCGGCCTCCAATTCTAAGTAAACCATTTTTGTCAGCAAAAGGATTAAGTCGAATTAAAGTTGAAGATGACTTTAATACTGTTCATGTTGGTTTGTCTCTGGCTTTGGTTAAAGTCTCTACTTCGTAGTTAAAATTATCTGCTTAAATAAGTCTTACGACTTCAGTTTCAGTTTCTTCAAGACGCTCCAAGTTTTATTCCATTCTGGATAAATCTGAACTCCTCGATGTCCTGACTTGTATATCTTGATTAGATGTACCATACAGAGATGATCTTCTTTATCTTATACCAGGATCCTACTGTTTCTAGTCTGTTTAGAATGAATTTATCAGGTATATCGACAATGTCAGCGTTTACAGCGAATACTTTCGAACTAGTTTTCATTTCAGAATCATCTTTAGGTATTCCAAAGGATAGGTCAGTCTTATGGTTCCAAAATTCTAGAGGTTGATGAAGAAAGTTGGGTCCTGTATACCATATAGAGGTAAATAAGTCGTCTGGTTTGGCTCCTCGACTGGCAATATCTGCTGGGTTGCTTTTGGAAATAACATGGTGCCATTGGCTAATGTCTGTGTAGTCTAGTATGCATTGGATTCTATGAGCAACAAAAGTCTTGAATCGTCTTGCTTCATTCTGTATATATCCTAAGACGCATGTACTGTCCGTCCAAAAATGTTGACTAAGTGTGGGTATTCTCAGTTCCATTTCGAGTAATCGGGCTACTCTGACCATTGTTACAGCACTGGTAAGCTCTAATCTCGGAACTGTAATGGATTTAATGGGTACGACTCTACTCTTTCCCATTAAAAGACTAACAGAGATGTTTCCATTAATGTCTGTTTGACGAAGATAAGCTGCTCCACCATATCCAGTAGTGCTGGCGTCACAAAACAGATGGAGTTCTGTGGATATAATTTCGTCGCATTCAGTCGGTTTCAAACATCTGGCTATTTGTAGTGCTTCTAGATCTGCTAAACTGGCTTGCCACTCAGTCCAGGATTGGGATAAGTTTAAAGGTAATGTATCGTCCCATTCTAGTCGACTTCTGCATGCTTCTTGGAGTACTGCTCTTCCCGGAAGTAAAACAGGACTAATTAACCCGAGAGGGTCGAATATGGTTCTTAACGTGGAAAGACATCCTCTTCTGGTAAGGGGTTGATTAAGGAAATCATTTTGAAATTGAAATACATCTTCTTGCGTATTCCAAATCATTCCTAGAGTTCTTTGTCGTGGTAGTTGGTCAAATTCAAAGTCAAAATGATTATTCAGATCTGCGGCTCTCATTTCGGGTGGTAAGGTTTTAAGTAACTCTTTCGAGTTTGATGCAAATTTTCCCAAAGTGAATCCGCCAGCAGAGCACAGAGCTATGGCTCCCCAAGCGAGATTAATTGCATCATCCAGTTTGTCTACGGAAATCGTTCCGTCATCCATATAGAAGTTGTGAAGTATGAAATCATTCACTTCTTCTGAATATTCACCTCCATGGTCAATAGCTGTCTGTTGTAAGGCTCGAATACAAATACTTGGACTGGAAACTGCTCCAAATAAATGGTAACAGGTATGGTATTCCATAGGTGTAGTCGAAATGTCTCCATTTTCCCACCATAGAATTCTAGTATAATCTCGATTTTCAGGTGATATCTTAACCATCATAAACATGGATGCAATATCGCAGGTAAAGGCTATTTTTCCCTTTCTCAATCGACACAATGATCCAGCTAGGCTTGTAAGCATATCAGGTCCAGAGTAAAGTTCATCATTGAGAGAGTGTCCATGGTATTTAAGGCTAGCATTAAATACTACTCTTCTACTACGTTTTCCTTTGCGTTTGTGTCTAACACCATGATGAGTAAGGTAGTGAATGGGTTTATCTTCAGTATTCTCTCCGTTAATTTTTTCAATATGACCTTCTTTGATGGTAGACTGCATAAAAGATGTATAATCTTCTCTGAACAATAAATCTTGTTCAAATCTTTTCTTCAATCTAAAAAGTGCAGATTCAGCTATTCTTCTATTATTTTCCAAATAAGGCGGATTGTGTCGAAAAGGTAAATCAACCTGGTAATGACCATCTTGAAATATTAATGATTTGTCGATAATGTCATTAAATCGCTTATCTTCCTTTGAAAGTGATTTATCTTCAGGTCTGTTTTCGTTGAATTCTTGTTCCAGTATTTTCAATATTTCTTTAGGTGATACCATTTGTGTTGATTCATTTTCTGTGATAAGTAATAGATAATTATCCATTTCATCGGTACCTCGAACTGTTATAAAGTTGCAATGGTAATTAGTTGGTTTCTCTGCGCATAATATAGACCATCCTAGACCATTACGCTCTGCCCAAGGTGATATAGGTCCGTCTGGTGGAATAACTTCTCGTGGAGATACGGCAAGTGGGACATTCCTTCCTAACATAATTACTATCTTTGCGTCAGTAATGTCTGGTATGTCTGGTATTATTCTATGAAGGTAAGGAAAAGACTCGGCTGCTTCCTTTGTCGGTATTTGTCGTCTATCGATTGGTAGAGTATGTCTTGTAAAACAGCTAGGAATAGGAAATATTTCATCCTTCTTAAGGTTAAGAACTTCCAAATCAGTTATCTTCTCAGATATAATCTCATTCTGTCCATGCATGGTTGTGAGTTTAATAGAAATCGGTAGTCCACTCCATCCTTGTTCTTTTGAGAATTCATCTTCTTTAAAGCATGAGTCTGATTCAGTGTCGGAATATATGTAAGCTGGTATTAACTTATCTGGTCCTGATCGATGTCGTATATAACCCAAATTAAGATGAGCAAAGTTATAGTCAGTAGTAGTAGTATTACTAGTTAGACGGGTTGTGGAACTTGTCAAATTCATGGTCATCTTTGGTGATGTCGATCTAACTGGTTCAGATTGGGTGAATGCTGGTGCTGTAACATTAAATATTGACATATTTCTTTCGATGTGGGATAGTGAGATGTGTCCAACTTGCTTGCAAATTCCACAGGTCTTCCAGTTAGTATTCGGGCAATCTTTAGCTTCGTGTCCTTTAAAGGTACATCTAGAACACATATTTCTCTTTTGTAGAAATTCTTTTTTCTCTGCAATTGGTTTCTTGCCTAACACAGTGCAGTGTTCCAACCAATGATCACCTTTACAATAGAGACATCTGGGTGTAGGCTTAGTTAACTTCATGGAGTTAGAATTTGTAGTATGCTCATTAGTCTTCGTTGTATTTCCAGTAGCTCTAATTTTTCTAGTGTTATCGAATTTCGATGAAGATATAGGTAACTTTTTATCAGGTAGAGTTGCACCAAATATAGGATCACCCATGGCTCTAGCTTTCTTTCTTACGAATTCTGCAAAATAGTCGAAGGTGGGCCCCTTTTTCTTGTTTCGAAATATATGTTGAATATCTTCACAAAATTTACTTCTCATTCCCCATGGTAGGAGTTCTAAGGCTTCCTTAATAGTTGATTCGTCGTTTAATTTTCCTACATAGCCGAATCCCTTTAATGATTCTGAGCAATTCTCAAGAAAGTTGGCAAATGATCTCATAGCTTTTGCGTCGCTGGATTTTATCTTAGGCCAAGATTGTAGCTTGTTGACAAATGTTTCACAAATGATGACAGGATTTCCGAATTCTTCTTCTAATTTTTGCATGGCTTTTCTGAAATTTGCCATTGTTGGTAGATGAAGTTTGCTTTCGATCAGTGCAAAAGCCTCACCTGCAGTGTATTCAGCTAAAAACCCCATTAATTCTTCAGGATCATTAGTCTTCTTCTCAAAACAAACTCTGAATGAACTTCTCCATTTTTGATAGTTAATTGGTTCACCATTAAATACAATAGGCTTCATGTCAGGTAATGTTGCTCTCAATAGAATTTTATCAAGTGCCTTTATATCACTGGATGTGTCTGATCTCAGTGTAGTTGTAGGAGTTACATCATAAGTTTGCATTAAAGGTGAAGAAGTGTGTGGGTAAGAGTCTTCAGATCTATTTTGTGATTTGTCTTCATTATTCAACAGCTGGTCTACTGTTAAATTCTCTGCATCTAACATTATTTTAGCTGTAGCTACTTTCTTTTCTAATGATGGCCTTCTTACATATTGGTCTTGCTTTAATTTAAACATTTCTGCTTCATGTCTGGCTTGCTATACTTGCACTTTCATTTCTAAAACTTTAGCATCTACTATAGCTTTCTTCTGTCTCTCTTCTTTATTGTTGTGTGAGTATTGTGATCTATCTGATTTTCTACTAGATAATGAGTGATTATCATCAAACTGTAGGCCTAATAGTTCTTTTTTAATATTAATGTTTCTCTTGAATTCCATCAACTTTTCTACTGTACTTTCATATTCGGTTACAAATATATCAGGAATATCTTCTCCTTCTTGAATACATGCTTCTATTTCATTACAGGCCTCAGTAAATTCTTCTGCTCTTACATTTAATTCTATCATAAGTTTTTTCAGGTCTTTATAATTCATCTGATTAAATAAATGCTGGTACATTTCCAATAAACTGTAATATGCTTTCTCTAGAAGATGTAAAATGTATCTGAGTCTGTAGTATTTGTGATCTTTTTCTTCTCTCAGACGAAGTTAGACTTCCATTATCAGTTCTATCAATAGTAAGCCCACTTTTTGGTAGTTTTGATTGTTCAATTTCGTCCAGATTAGTTTTGTTTTCATCTGGATCAGTTCCATTTGGTTGATTTGTCGGTTGTCCCAGACATAATATTAGGCCTAGTCTCTAGACCGGGAATTCAATTCTTCGAAAATGGCTGTAATGTCCTAGTTTGGTTGTGGGTGTCAGTGAAAACTGTTAAAGCTTCGTCTAAAACTGCAAGTGTCGGTGTCGGGTTGCCAACCAGGATTCAAAAAGCCGTTTCGTGGAATGACGTCTAAATAGAGGGTCTACGCACTGGAATTATTTGGTGATGATAAATAACTATGATGAAGTTTTTGAATTTTATAAACCAGTGGTTTTCTACAAAATACAGAAAAATAAACAAATGTCAGAATATATGAAAGTCTGATTTGAATTGCCACGAATGTAAGCTTCCCAAATGCGGTACTCGAATATATACTTACGGACGCTGGGGCTTCCAAGTTTTCGATTAATTTCTGGAAATGTTGTGTTGTTATTCGATTCAATTAAAACAATGGCGTCAAGAATAAACAGTGTGAATCACGTGATCTAACATAGGAACCGCTCAATTACAATCGAAAATACTCGCATAATACTGAATTATTATTAACTCGGAAAATTGTTGTACGATTTTTAGCCGACACTTACATTACACAAATGAAGCCAAAAGACATAATGCACGACATTGAAAGACATTATAGCCGAATATATAAAAAGGATACAAAACAACCTGAACCTGAACTGCAATTTCTTATAAGAGAAAATACTCCTGTTTTTAGTGATAATGAATCTCAATGTCTTGAATATAAATTGGATGAATTGGAGTGTCGAGAGGCAATAAATACATTTAAATTAAACTCATCACCAGGAAATGAGGGTCTAATGATCGAATTTTACTTATGTTTTTGGCCACATATACATACTTATGTTTTAAACTCACTTAATGAAGGTTTTGAAAGTAAATGCCTTTTGACGTCCCAACGACAATCAATTGTCAAGTTGTTACCCAAACCTAATAAAAATAAATTAGACATAAGTAACTGGCGACCGATTTCGCTTATTAACTTAGACGTTAAGATTGCCAGTAAAGTTTTATCGTTACGTTTAAAACATTTTTTAGGTAAAATTATACACCCAAACCAAACAGGATTTGTCCCCGGAAGACATATGATAGAAAATACCAGAATCATAGATGATTGCATAACATTAGCTCAACAAAAGCGCATATCTGGACTCCTTATGGCAATCGATTTTTCTAAAGCTTTCGATTCAATCTGTCATCAATTTATGGTTAAAGTCCTCCGACATTTTGGTTTTGGTAAAATATTCATTCGTTGGATACTAACTTTATATTATAATATTGAATGTGCTATCACAAACAATGGTTATACTACCCATTACTTCCCAATAGAAAAGGGACAAGGTGATCCTATGTCGCCTAACCTATTTAATCTCATAATAGAAATTCTTTGTATATATATATGACATGACAGTAACATCCACGGAAAAACAGAATTAAAAACAATTGGATTTGCAGACGACTTAACGTGCTTTTTCAAAGATAACAAATCCGTAAGACACCTGATTGAGGTTCTTAAACAATTCAGGCTTGTATCTGGCCTTTCAGTAAACTTTTCAAAAACGGAGGCATTAGATTTGAACAGTTAAATAAAAACCTCGACAAACTGCTCTCTGAAAATAACATTCGCTTGTGCACATCCTCTATCAAAATCTTAGGCATTCATTTTTCCCTAAATGATTCAATATCATGTAATTTAAACTTTCATCAAAAAATAGACGAAGTAGAAAATATTATATCAAAATGGAAAGGAAGAAAGTTAACATTAACGGGGAAAATACTAATCATCAAAACTTTTTGTTTATCCAAAATATCACTACAACTTCAAATACTATATACGCCAAAAGATATCTTTACTAAATTAAACTTCATATTCTTTAATTTTCTTTGGAACGGCCCAGACAAAATAAAAAGAAAACAAATCTATCAAAACAAATTCAAAGGTGGCTTAAATATGCTTAATATACGAGAACACCATGCTTGTAAATCTCTGTTTTGGATTAAAAAAATATTTCTTATAACTAGAAATCAAAATTTGATGTCGACCATAAAACATGTTTAGAACCTCATAATACTTTTGTTTTGGCATCGAGTAATTTCCAAAGAGACAAAATATTAATTAAATCCCCATTTTAAAAACAAATGTATCTCAATTGGTGCGAGATATATAACAAAAATATAGATAAGCATATTGGAATAGAAAATCAAATTGCCTATTTAAATATTAATTCTTCAACTAGCAGTATATCAAACTTAATTAAACATAACTTTCTTTACACATCAGATTTCTTAACAAATTCACAAAATAATCTTACTGAATCTGAAAAGCTTATAGTACAAGGTTACAAAAAAGCTATTCAGAGATCAGGTGTCGTATCAAAAACCTCTAACGAAAATAGACCTCTTGTCTCTATCCCTACAAATTATATAACACAACTAAAGGAGGATATAGCATATAATTTGACGACATTCTATCACACTAGCTATAATACAATTAAGCCAAGAGACATCTACAAAAAATGCATCAATGCTAAGTTTATTAAACCGAAATCAATTATTAAATGGGAAGATGACCTAAAAATCACATTAAATGAAACTGATATCAATTAAATTTTTCGGAATTTATACAATTATTGTTCAGATGAAAAAACTCGAAATTTTCAGTACAAATATATCAATAGAATCATTTATACTAATTATAAACTTTTCAAATTCAAAATAGCTGAAACAATGCTTTGTAATTTTTGTAATTCTACCTGAGAAACAATAGATCATCTATATATTCAATGTGTACATACACAAATCATCTGGAGTAAGCTACATGAAATCATAGACGAAAATGATATATCAATAAAAATCACTAATGAAATTATACATATAGGATTATACACAAATAATCTTGATTGTGTCCTAGACAAGAATGAAATTAACTTTATCAATCATTGCTTAACTCTCACAAAATATTTTATCTACCAAAATAAAATCAGAGGCGAAATACCAAATGAAACTAAATATATTCAATTTCTGATAGCAAAAGCCAACATTGAAATTACCAAAAATGAAAATGAAATATCAAAATGGAAATATTTATACAACTTTATCGATACATTAGACTTTAAAGTAATTATCACCAAGACACACAATCACCTACGAACCCACTTTTGAAATGTTGTATGTTGTGTAATGTTTGTACGAATATGTATATTGTATAGCTGTATAGTCAATAAAAGTCAAAAAAAAAAAAAATAAAAAAAAAATAAAGTTAAGCCTCAAGGACACCTATCAATTCCCAGAATGGAGCTCTGCGCAGCTGTATTACTTGTCACAACCGTCAAACAAACTCGCAAAGTATACATTTGTTTAAAAATGGAAAATTACCTCATGGTTTGAGCCACTTTGTCTTAGAAGTTCGGTTGTTTCCGCTTCATAGTTCAAAAAAGGGAACAGGATTTGGAAATTCAAAATTTTCAATTGTTGACCTTTGTTGACCTTGACTTTTGTAGGATCAAACGTCATTGGCATTGGCCATCTTTTTATACTTTTATATTTGGTGTCCTATGTCAACTTCTGGTTTTATAGCCGTGTGCAATTTGAAATTTTGATGACTTATATCACTTGATCTTGACCTTTTTAGACCTTCTTCTTTACAAGATCAAAGGTCATTGACCTTGGCTATCTGCTGATACTTTCATTTGTGAGGTCTGGCGTCTACTTCCGGTTTTTGAATCTTCTAAATAATGAAAATTTCTCAACATTAGACTTCTTGCAATTGATCTAATTATCGTCGGAGGTTGATTTTTTCAGGGTCTTTAGGAAATTGCTACATTTGCAAAGTCCCACTTTGTGCCATGTGTGGCTCTAGTTTTTAATGTATCTGAAACTTTGTTTGATCATTGGAATTGATGTGGACGTTTATTTTACTTGCCTTATAAATTATCTTTATTTCCAGGAAGAAAAATCAGATTCTGTAAAAGAAGGAAGGTTTGGAGGATTCATTCCAATAGGTTTGTTTCTTTATTATCCCCCTCATAGAAAAATGTGTAAAAATTTTTGACCTAAGATATTGTTAAACCTACATATTTTTATGTGCATTTGTCCAGGTTCTGAATACTTAGCAAATAATAACAGATATGTTGCCAGAAGTAGCTGAGGTTAGACCAATTTATTATCAAAAAAAAACTTAAAAGGGACAGTGGCGCCAATTTTTTAGTCTTAAAAATGGGAATTTTTTCAGAAATCGAGCCTTCAAATACATGTGTGTGCAGAATTATCTGTGTTTGAATGTTAAAATGACGACTCTCCGTCCAAAGTGTGCTTCATCACGCAAGGATGAACCCTATTGAAAATCAGAAAAAAACAAACAAATATTTAGTATGAGTTATTGCATTTGTTCTTGAAATGCTTCTAAACACTCTAGAAAGTGCAATTCTTGATGGATTTTGATGAAACTTGGTGTAAGTGTTTGCTATTACCTAAGGATGAACCCTATTGAATATAAAAAAAATCGAAAAATAATTGGTATGACTTGACCTTGAAAACGTGTTTAATTTTAGCTTGTAAACACTCTAGAAGGTTAAATTCTTGAGAGATTTTGACGAAAATTGGTGTTAATGTTTGTTATCACCCAAAAATAACCCTGTCGATATCGCGATCGGAAGTGATTGGGGTGCAATTTCTGTGAGTAATCAAGACACATGAATAAGTCATATCGCCACGTTTCGTGTCGATATCACGATCGGAAGTGATCGGGGTGCGATGCAGCAATAGGGGCATAATGGCATGACTTGAGCGATTGGATCGGTCTGAAAATTGTTGTGAGTAATCAGAATGCATTACTCTGTTATCGCATTGTAAATCTTCAAATAAATACGTTATAATCGGGAAAGATTTCAGTCAGTGCATCACTTTGAAAATTAATTTAAGATGGAAGGAAACGTTGGAACTGTTTGAAATTTGCTGTGAATATTCATGACATATATAAGTACCCCTCTGCCAAGTTTCAAATCCATAGCTCAACAGTGCCAGTGGTTTTTGATGAAACATTGTGAAATTTCGAATAAAAAAAAACCGAAAATATTTAGTACGAGTTATCGACTTTGTTCTTGAAAACACATATAATTACTAAAAGGCATGATTCTTGCTGGATTTTGACTGGTATGTTGTTCAGGATTGTCCCAAAAAATTCAAAAGAAGTGTATGACTGTTGGTTGAATATTTCATACTGGTGATTGTTACTGTACTTGAAAAATATTTTCATTCAAAATCAAAGCTGCAAGTGGGCATATAAAACTTGCCTGGTAAGCATGCTTTATATAATCCCAGAAAACAAATTGATAGATCTGCAGTTTTGAAATTCAGGTAAAAATTTAGGTCTACTGGTAAATGAACTACAAAAAGGTTGAATTCAAAATCTATTTTCATAAAAAAAAAACGCCCAGTGTGCAACCAAAGGGACGATTTCTCATTAACAGAAGTCTGGGTCGCATCAATTTCACTCATTGTTGAGTCAAATTTTCCGATCATTTAGTTTTAGATTAAAAAAAATTGATTTCCGAATCAAAATTGTCACTGACAACACTGTATGATATATTGCTATTACCGTCGAACAATATTCACGATGTCAATGTCATGTAAAGTAAAAGCTTGATTTTTGGTCATTTTCAAACGAAAATATTTCAAATATTTTCACAGAACAAACACCTGGGTTTAGAGATAGCCTTGACTTGACTATAAGCTTTCATGTGATCAGGTATTACGTTTAGTATTTTGTTCTCAAACGAGATTTATTGTGAGAACACTACTTGAGTCGCATATATGCACCTGTGTTTAATATAGGAAGTTGGTATTATTAGTCTTTTTCTGACAGCTGCTAGGGAGTGTATGTTACCTTGCCTGGCAAGCTGTCTTTTATAATGAAAATATTGTATACTGTCCCTTTAAGTGTTTAAAAAGCCTCAGATATCTGAATGCGGATGCAATGTGGAGAAATTGCTTATTGTTGACCACCCAGTTAAAAAATTCTCTTATGGTTATGTACATATTTTCATTTCCTGATGTATTTTCAGTAAAATTATAGTAGCTGAAAATAGAATTAACGTCAAACATTCAGAATCAGTCGTTGTTACAATTATTCTGTTTTTTTCTTGCAGATCAGCTACAAGTAACTTACTCTGAAGGTTCTGATAGGATTGGAACAAACAATCTTCTTCAAGGTAAATCTTATCCAAGAATATCATAGTGCAACCAATATAATGGGATTTTATATGCCCACATGCAAATGTGTAAATTCCAAATAAAAACCCATCATGAAGATGATTAATGGTGATCTCAGTTGTACCATGGTTATGTGTTGGTTTTGGACTTCTTGGGAAGTCTGTTTTTAGATACATGGAATAAATGGTTTATTTTGACAGAAAATTTATTATCTAAAGCCCCATGTAAAATGTGAAGTATATTGCCGTCACTTACATTTCGTCCAGGTACAATGGAGGTTACAGTTTTTATTTAATTTTGATGATTTAATTATGCACATATATATTGATGTGAACTCAGTCAAGTTCGAATTTTCGGTAATAATAAGATAAACAGGTTTGGAGTTAATGCCCTTGACTTAGTAAAACGTGTCATTTTGGCTTGTAGACACTGGAAGTGATTGAAATTTTTTAAATGTATGCTTTTATTCCACTCTGCTGTCTACACTTTATAAGTTTCAATTCAATCCGCCAAATAAAAACCGAAATATTATTTTTCGATTAATTTCAGCAAAAAAAGTATAGAATCGTAAATTTTCAATTGCTGTCATTCGTCTTTTGATACAAGGAATATAATGAAGGAAACCTGATCGAAATCAGTTGATAAACATGACGTAGAGTCCCTTTGTTGTTTGTTGCTAACATTGCTTCATGTCGCTCAGAAAATTTTTGGTTACATTTAATCCACAATTCCCCACAGAAAACATGAAATTTTTGTATATTGATGAAGAAAAAAATAAAGATAGTAAAAACACGTCAAATTTGTAGGCACGATAGAGATGAAACTTGGTATGCATGTATATATTGATGAGATATCAGTCAAGTTTGAAGTTGGTAATAATTCGATGAATGATTTCAGTGTTACTGCCCTTGACTTAGTAAAATTAGGCTTTTAGGCAGGCTATAGACTACAGTTTTTATCCGATATCGATGATAACTAGTATGCACATATATATTGATTAGATATCTTTTATATATTATATATTATTATTATATTGTAATCACCCTGTCGGTCCGTCCGTCCGTCCATTCACATTTGGCTCGTGCTCACTCTACAGGCTACAGTTCTTTATGGATTCTTTTGATTTTTATTTTGTGTGTCAATGTCATTATGAAGATGATCTCTATTGATTTTCGTGATGATCGGATAATTTTTCACCGAAATATCGTGTCTGACTTGACGTTTTACTCTATTAGCTATATTGTGCAACTCGTGCTCACTCTACAGGCTACAGTTCTTTACGGATTCTTTTGATTTTTATTTTGTGTGCCAATGTTATTATGAAGATCATCCCTATTGATTTTCGTGATGATCGGATAATTTTTCATGGAAATTTCCTGTCTGACTTGACGTTTACTCTATTAGCTATATTGTGCAACTCGTGCTCACTCTGCAGGCTACAGTTCTTTACGGATTCTTTTGATTTTTATTTTGTGTGCCAACGTTATTATGAAGATGATCCCTATTGATTTTCATGATGATCGGATAATTTTTCACGGAAATATCGTGTCTGACTTGATGTTTTATTCTATTGGCTATATTGTGCAATTCGTGCTCACTCTACAAGCTACACTTTTTTACAGATTCTTTTGATTTTGATTTTGTGTGTCAATGTCATTATGAAGATGATCCCTATCGATTTTTGTGATGATCGGATAATTTTTCACCAAAATATCCTGTCTGACTTGAAATTTTAATCTATTAGCTATATTGTGCAACTTGTGCTCACTCTACAAGCTACAATTGCAACTTGTGCTCACTCTACAAGCTACAATTCTTTACATTCTTAGATTCTTTTGATTTTGTGTGTCAATGTCATTATGAAGATGGTAAATATATCGAATTTCATCATACTTACAATCAAAGCTATCTGTGGGCCTATGTTACCTTGCCTGGCAAGCTATATTTTTTTTTTTTTTTAGTACACATATCAATTTTATTCAAATATTTATAGCAACAATTAACAGTACACACAATACATACATTCACACACAGTCAATATTATATCATACACATATTAATTTCATTCAAATATTTATACCTATAGCAACAATTTAACAGTACACATATTAACTTCATTCAAATATTTATGTATAGCAACAATTTAACAGTACCCACAATACATACATTCACACACAGTCAATATTATATCATACACATATTAATTTCATTCAAATATTTATACATATAGCAACAATTTAACAGTACACATATTGATTTCATTCAAATATTTATACATATAGCAACAATTTAACAGTACACATATTGATTTCATTCAAATATTTATATATAGCAACAATTTAATATTCAAAATAGAAGATAGTCAGTATATTAAATGATTGTTATGTACATACTATTTTAGGTTGATACTGGTGATATTCAATTATACATGGTGCTATAATAATATTAATATTAAAGAGATTTGTTCTTAAACAAAAAGATTTGAAAAAACATGCCAACGATCATAATACTTTTGATTATCATCATTTTGCAGGTACATATATTTCTCCTGCTCACAATATCTTTCAAACTCAAACTTTAAAACTTTAAATAATGGTTTATTATTTTTAAATCTTTGTTTATAAATATGGAATTTTGCTAAACAATATAATAAATTTATTGCACCCTTAGAAGACCCAAATTCGCCAAAGATACATATGATTGGGTTGATTATCATTTCAAATTTCGTTTTTTCAAACACCCAATCTTTTATTGAATTTCAAAAACATTGAGTGTGTGGACAATAATAATAAAGGTGTAAAATAGTTTCTTTGTCACTTTCACAAAATGTACAGACATCTGACGGTCTTATTCCAATTTTAAATAAGAATGAATTTGTGCCAATTATCTTAGTATTGATTCTGAATTGAAACCATTCAATCGAGTATCTGATGTAAATTGAGAAGTTTGTATCATTGTCACTACAGTGTAGTTTGGATATCAATATATTAATACAATTAAATACTTCCTTTTTAGATAAATTTTGGATATATGCATCCCCAAAAGACTCACAACAAAGACTATTGTCATTGTTTGGAAACAAAATAACTAATAACTTGGCCCAGGCGGTTTCACGATTTCTTAAATATCTTTTGAACCATGTAATTTTCAGTGACTTGATGAATGAATTTAGATCTACCATTTTACAGCCCCCATCTTCAAAATTTTGCATCATTACTTTTCTGGCAACTCTTTCTGGTTTATTTGCCCAAGATTTGTTCAAGATTTTTCAAGAATGTGGAATTAGGAGATGGCAGACTGGTGAATAAATGTATTAATTTTGGCAGTAAAAATTCGCTTGACACACCACATTGCTTTATGCAAAGTCTAAAATCAGTGTTAAATAATTTAACCCATTGTCTAATTTGTAAACCAAAATTAAAGAATTTTAAAGTTTTGTCAATAAACCACGAAGACACTGAATCAAAAGCTTTTTCGAAATCGATCAGAACTATTAAACCAAGTATATTTTCTAATTCTGTGTATTCTACCAGATCATAAAAACGTCTGGTGTTTTCACCGATGATCCTTCCTGATAAAAACTCTTTTTGGTCATCATTAATTACATTATTCAAAACACATTTTATGCGTTTAGCGATACATGCTGAAAGTATTTTATAACTTGTATTCAGTAATGAAATGGGTCTCCAATTTGAGATTAATTCTCGAGGTTTATTACCTTTTGGTAATAGTGAAATAATGACAATGCGTTTCTGACATGTGTCCTACTTTAAATGCATGATTGAAAGAGCGTATTAGAAATATTGACAAATCGTCTCAAAACACTTTGTAAAAATCGCATGGAAAGCCACCGTCCCACTTGCTCTTTTCCGGTTTCATATTCATAAGTACACTCAGTGCCTCATCATATGTAATTAAGCCCTCAAATTGATCCTTGTTATTTAATATAGGTATATTTGCTGTTTTAAAGAGATCATAAAGGTCTATATCTTCTAATTCAACATCTTTTGAACTATATAAATCATTATAAAAACATTTAATATTGTGTAAATTTTCTCTTTGTTTCGTTATCTTGTTACCGTTTGGTTCTACAATATTTGTTATTGTTCTATTAACAAAGTTTCTTTTTTCTATATTAAGAAAATATTTCGATGGTTTTTCACCAGCTTCAACGTATTTTGAATTTGATCTTAGTAATTGTGATGTATTTACTAAAATTCTGTGACTAGAACATGCATATGATATTAAGTAGGAGATTGCTTTCCATACGGTACACTAGCTAGTCACGTGACACGCATTCCTTAGCGACGTAATTACTTGTAATGTAAGCCGCCATTTGTAATGGCACATGTATATTATTATGCCAAATAAATGAGTCCTTACATTCTATGTCCACAACAATTAAACGTGACATTGGCGACGAGAGATAAATAGAAGGTTTGAGAACGTTTTGAAGACATTTTAACGTACGATAATCAACTTTTTAACGGTTAAAATGGCATTAAAAGGAACACTGTACGAGGAATTCGATGTCAAAGATGGCGACATTTCCTGTTACTTAGCAAGATTGGACCAATTTTTCATTGCCAATGATGTTGAAAATACGAGAGCCAATGCCGCTAAACGACGTGCAATACTTTTAAGTAGTATAGGAGGGACGCCATTTCAAGTTTTGACTGATTTATGTTTTCCTGCAGCTCCTCACAAGAAATCATATGATGAATTGAGTACGTTACTAAACGAACATTACAAATCGCCTAAGATTCCTATCACAGAACGTTTCAAATTTCACAATTTTAAACAAAAGGAAGGACAGTCCATAACAGATTACGTCAAGGAATTGAATCATATGGCAACCTATTGTGAATTTACTGCTGGAACTTTGGAAGAAAATCTGAAGGACAGATTTATTTGTGGTTTGCTAAACACTAGTATTCAGAAGAAACTTTTGTATGAAAATAAAGATTACCATGAATCTGTGAGACTTGCCAAAGCAGAAGAAGCAGCCAGGCAAAATGTCAAAGATATGAATAAAAGGGATAACAATAATAGTACCAGTACGACTACTCCTGTAAATAAAGTCTACTCCAGGAAACCTAGGGATGCTAATTCACAATCTCAGTCCAAACCTGATGGATTCAGATCACGATGTGACAGATGTGGATTATCCAATCATTCTAGAGATGATTGTTATTGTAAAAACTTTAAGTGTTTCAAATGTAAACAAATAGGACATTTACGTTTAGAATGTCGTGGTAGAAGTCAGAATGATTCTAGTCAACGAGGTAATAGGCCTAGACAACGTAATAGAAGTAAATCAAACCAACGACAACGTATACGATACGTAGTTAGTTCTGAAGATTTTAACGACACATCTGATGATAATGTTAATGGAAATGACAGTAAAGAAAACAGTGAATTTGCTCATACGATTTATAGGGTGAATATGTTTAAAAACTGTAAACCAATCAAAATTGATATGACTTTATCAGGTGTTTTACTAACTATGGAACTTGACACTGGTGCTGCAGTGACACTTATTAGTTACGAAGATTACGTGAAATATTTTAAGATTCATAAACTGGAACATAGTAATAAACAATTGCATACTTATGCTGGTACTAAAATAGAAGTCTTTGGTGAAATTGTGGTCAATGTGAGATATGGAGAACAATTGTTTAAGAATTTGTCTATTTGTGTAAAGCGAGCAGATCATTATGCACCTTCATTACTTGGTAGGGACTGGCCGAACATAATTAAATTAGACTGGAACAACATATTTTCACAATCACAAGGGCAGTTCACAGTAAGCGGAAATCCTTTACAAGAATTAAAGTCACGATATGCTGAAGTTTTCACAGAAGAATTGGTAGGAGTTAAAGGGGTGAAAGCTCATCTCTATATGAAACCAGAGGCACAGGCAGTGTTTTGTCGACCGCGACCTGTGGCGTTTGCGTTATGACCTCAGGTTGAAAAAGAACTTTTGCGCTTACAAAAAGAAGGAATCATAGTACCAGTTGAATTTAGTGAATGGGGTAGTTTGTATAGCCAAATCTGATGGAACAGTTAGAATATGTGGTGATTATAAGGTGTCAGTGAATCAACATATTAATACAGAACAGTATCCGATTCCAACGCCAGAAGAAGTTTACGAGAAGTTATCAGGAGGTCAAAAGTTTTCGAAAATAGATTTACGATGTGCTTATCAACAATTAATCCTAGACGAGGAATCACAGAATGTTGTTACGATTAATACGCACAAGGGACTATTTCGCTATACAATATTACCTTTTGGTGTGTCATCCAGCACTGCAATATGGCAACGTTTTATAGATCAAGTACTTTCGGGTTTAGACAATACCTGTGCAATTATGGATGATGTATTAGTTACTGGAAAAGATGACGCAGAACATTTTGAGAATTAAGACAGGCTGTTCAAACGATTTGAAAAGTATCAGTTAGGTGTTAGAATTGAGAAGTGTAAATTTCTACAAGATAATGTTGTGTATATGGGTAGAATGTTATCTGCTGATGGTTTACGACCTACGGAAACTAAAGTTGAAGCGATACGCAAAGCACCTACTCCTACGAATGTTACTGAACTGAGATCATTTTTAGGTATGGTGAATTTTCAAGGACAATTCTTACTGAATTTATCAACGAAATTATATCCACTGAATGAACTATTAGGAAATCGGGAGTGGAAATGGACAAATGATTGTCAAACGTCATTTGACACTGTGAAACGACTTATTAGTTCAGATAAACTATTGGTTCATTATAATACTAAGTTACCTTTGGAACTTGCTACGGACGCATCACCTTATGGTGTTGGTGCAGTGATGTTTCATAAAATTGATGTACGTAAGCCTATAGCTTATGCTTCTAGGAGTTTGCATAAACATGAACGTAATTATGCACAATTGGATAAGGAAGCATTATCAATTATATTTGGTATTAGACGTTTTAAGAATTACGTATATGGTAGACACTTAACAATATTAAACGATCATAAACCTTTAGAACGTATTTTAGGATCGAAGACTGCTGTTCCTACGCTAGCAGCACAACGTTTACAACAATGGGCAATTGAGTTATCAGCTCTTGATTATGAATTGAAATATATTTCTTCTAAAAAGAATGCTTATGCTGACGCATTATCACGTTTACCACTACCTGCAACAGTCAATAATCAATCATTAGATGTTGATATGGTATACAATATTAAGGATAAAATATTGGATATTTTTCCAGTTACGAGTAAACAGATTTCTGCAGTTACTAAGACAGATCCAGTATTATCACGAGTTTTACATTATACGAAAACTGGATGGCCAGATGCTAGACGATGAACGATTAGAGCCTTATTTCCAACGACGATTTGATTTAACAATTGAACAGGATTGTATTCTATGAGGAATAAGAGTGGTTTTACCAGCTTAATTTATTAGTGACATTTTAGCAGAAAATGCCACACATCGGGGCATTGTTAGAATGAAGGAAATCGCACATAGTCATGTTTGGTGGCCGAAATAGACAAAGACATTTCTGATATTGTAAAAGGGTGTTCTACATGTCAGCAAACCAGAAGTTTGCCAGCTTCTGCACCATTAATGCCATGGTTATGGCCAGGTTCACCATGGACTCATGTTCATATAGACTTCGCTGAAAAAGATAATAAGAATTATCTCATTGTGGTAGACAGTTATTCAAAGTGGCCTGAGTGTATTCTTATGAATAGTACGACATCACAGGCAACAATTATTGTTTTAAGAGACTTGTTTAGTAAATGTGGAATACCAGGACAGTTGGTTAGTGACAATGGTCCTCAATTTGTCAGCGAGGAATTTAAACTTTTTCTCAAACGGAATGGTATTAAGCAAGTATTAGTTTCACCTTACCATGCTGCCAGTAACGGTGCTGCCGAACGCATGGTACAATCATTTAAACGTGCTTTAAGTGCAAGTATTAAGATGGAATTAACTCTCCAACATCGCATAGATGCATTTTTGTTATATAGGTCAACTTAACATCCAACTACAGGTTGTACGCCAGCAAAAGTTTTCCTTGGTCGGGAAATTAGGACACGTCTTAGTTTGCTACATCCTGATTTGAAATCAACAGTTCTTGATCATCCCAGGAGATTCTGTTTTGATTAAAGACTTTCGTCACAAAGGTACATGGAGGCCTGGTACAATAGCAGAAGGAACTTCTCCTCAGTCTTATGTAGTAGTTCTACGTGATTGTCGTGTATGGAAGAGACATATTGATCAAATGAGGAAGGGAGACAACTCTCTTGAAGATAATGTGATAGTTGAAAATAGTGAGGGAGAGAATACAGAAGTTAATAAACCAATGGTTAATTCTCCAACATATTCTACTACAGTACAACTGGGGGTACACAAACCTGATAATCCTAGTCAGTTGAAACATCATCAACAGACTAGTTTACCAAGAAGAGTAAGATGGGAAGATAAGTTTAATTCAAATCAAAGTGGCTCAAAAGATGAAGTAATTGTATGCAAAGTTTCCTTTAGAACGAATGTATTGTTTGCGAGTTATGCCCCTGGTCAAAAATGTCAATAATGAGTAATTTAACCCGGATGTACCCCGCCCACCTAATTTTTTTGACACAAGTTTATGGATATTCAAAATATTATGTTGTGTTCCAAATTTCAAGCTTCTACATCATACAGGTCAAAAGATATAGGTCAACAAAAGTCAAAAAAGGTCAAAATCGAAAATTGAAAATATGGAAATTTTAAAACAAGTTCCTTTTTTGGAACTATAAAGCTGAAACAACTGAGCTGTTAACACAAACTAACCAAAAGGATGAGGTAATACAAAGTCCCTTTTTATTAGCCCACATGGAAATGTGGACGTATATTCCCTGTCCGTCCACATTTGTTGTATGCACGATAGAGACTACAGTTTTTTTCTGATCTTGATAAAACTTAGCAGCATGTATATATTGATGAGATCTCGGTCAAGTTTGAAATTGGTAATAATCGAATGAATGGTTTCAGAGTTATTGCCCTTTGACTTAGTAAAAATGCGTTAAATTTGGCTTGTATGCAAGATAAAGGCTGCAATTTTTATCCGATCTTGATAAAACTTGGTTTTAGAGTTATTTCCCTTGATTTTGTAAAAACCCTACAAATTTGGCTTGTAGTCATGATACAGGGTGCAGTTTTTATCTGATCTCGATGATACTTGGTATGCATGTATATATTGATGAGATCTCAGTCAAGTTGAAATTGGTAACAATCGGGTGAACGGTTTTGGAGTTATTGCCCTTGAATTAATTCAATGCATCTAATTTGGCTGGTAGGCCTGATAGAGATTACATTTGTTATACGATCTTGATGTAACTTGGTATGAGATTTTAGTAAAGCTTGAAATTATTAAAAATCGGATGATTGGTTTTACATATTAAGCCACTACAGACTTTGTTATCATTTCTTACAGCTGGTAGTGGGCTTATGTTAGCTTGGCTTGCAAGCTATGTTATGGCAAATAATATATGAGTTATAGTCCTTGTTCTTAAAACACATTCAATTTTTAGCTTGTAAACTATAAAAAGCTTGATTCTTGACAAAACTTGGTAATATTATTCAGTATCGCCTCAAAAAGTTTACAAAAAAGTGTATGACTGAAGGTTGAATATTTCATACTGGTGATTGTTACTGTACTGCCAAATATTTTTATCCATAATCAAAGCTGCTAGTAGGATAACGTCTAGAGGGCACTTGATAGATTGAGTTATTTATTGAGTTATTGTCCTTTTTTGGAAACAGGGATAAACCCTATCAAAAATAAAAAAAATATTTAATGACTTAATGCCCTTGTTCTTGCAAAATTGTTCTATTTTTAGCTTGTGAATGTTATGATATATAAGGCCACTGACAACTGCTGATGTACATTATACATTTTATTATAAATACATGAAGAGAAAGATGTGATGACCAGCCAGCTACGATGAAGGACAGGAGACAAGTAACATGTAAAGAGCAATGAGTAGCAATCAGGAGAGGATGACTTCCTGTGGGTTGTACTTGGTTTGATGTGATGCTACATCCCTCTTTCTTTAAGATTGAAAACGATATCTATGCTGTGCCATTGCATATTATTTTTGGGTTTGCGGTTTGGGAGCTGAGCTGTCACCATTAAATAAGAAAAATCAATAACTCATAACACAACACAATCCACCCCCCTTTTAACAAGAAAAACAAAATCACATTCACAATTCACAAATTAAGTTTCTGTTGTGGTTTAATCGTTCAGCCACTCCGAGTTTTCGTCACTGGTACACTGGGGCTATGTAGAACGGGATTGGTAGTGTGTCCACTTCTATTTTTATTAATTATAAGCTGTAAACAAAACCCAAAAAATATGAAAATTTCACTCTCAGAAACATTCTTTTACTGATAACTCTTGTCAACCTCCCGGCCATTACAAATGTGGGCGTATTACGATGGCATCGCTATATTTGGTTGTTGGTTTTAAGATAGGTTTAGGCTTTGTTTTGGTGTTTTGATATTTAAGAGTTTCTGGCTTTGTACATTGTGAGAATGTTACTCACTTTTTGGGTAATGAATTGTCATTCCTTTGGCGCTGAAGTGACAACTGATATCTGAGTGTCTCTACTTCCGCGGGTTCTACGATCTTCAGGAATTTCCTATTTTGCCTAATTATGGTACCATTAGGGAGTAATATTTCGTAGGATCGTGTTTCTTTGAGTTTCGGTGTGACTCGGGCAAGTTGCAAGTACTGTCCTGAACATAATTCTGGAAATATTCCCTTTGGCTAACCTGTCGTTGCAACAGTTCGTTAAAAGTGTGGAAATTTTCCCCTGAATTTCCTTCTGCACTAAAGTTCAACTGGACCTGAATTTCCTTCTGTACAAAAGTTCAGCTGGACTTGGTAAGCGTGAACTTGTTGATGGCACACGGAACATACAAAGTGCATGTTCAAGGGAAGTGTTCGAGTCTATTGCTTTTGCCAATATTCGCTTGATGGTTCAGACACACCTCTCAATGTAACCATTAGACTGAGGGTAACGTGGACTGCAGATATTCCATGTTGAACAAAATGTCTTGAATGAGTGACTGCTAAATTGTTGACCGTTGTCAGACATTATTTCACTCGGAAAACCATGCTCATAAAATATTTGCATTAAACTTTCCTGAACTGTTGAAGATGATGTGTCTGTCTTTACTGGCTTCACAAAAGGGTACTCACTGTAAGGATCGCCAACAAGAAGGTAAACATCACCTTTGTACTGAAACAAATCTTTTGCAATGCGCTGCTATGGTCTGGATGGCACATGCATTGGCAATGACGGTTCTTTGACATTGGATCTGGAGTGTTATTGACAGATAGAGCACCTGTTAATAAAATTTTCAATGTCTTTATTAATACCTAACCAATAAACAACATCACAATCTAAAAGTTTTGTTATTTTCTATCCCTAAGTGTCCCTTGTGTAACTTATGAAGAATCTCCTTTAACATGCTACTGGGAATAACAATTTGTTTTCCTTTTAATACGATTTCATCATGAACTGAAAGCAAGTCTCTTAACTGAGTAAAATGTGCGTAAAGGTTTATTCACTTTCTTAATACACTCCGGCCAACCAGTGATAATTATGTCTTTTAAAGGAGAAAGAACAGGATCCTGGTTGGTCTCTTGAACTAACCTAGGTTGTGTACTTTCACTACATGCAAAGTGTATTCTCATATCCAGTTGTATCTCTGGATCTGTACGTGTCAAGCTTATCAAACGAAACAGTCCATCAAATAGAACCATTTCTGAAAAAGGTTTGTACTTAAGTTCCACTTTGTATCCTTGAATTCGGAGTAACAAGTGTTGCATACGTGGCGGTGCCTTGGCTGTGTTCTTTTGTGTAATCATTAATAGCGGTTTGTGATCAGTTTCAACGGCGAATTTCTTTCCATAAATGAACATGTGAAATCGTTCAATGCCAAAAAATACCGCTAGCATTTCGCACTCTATGTTAGCATAGCGTTGCTCAGTTTTTGTAAGAAGTTTAGAAGCGAAATAAATTGGTTTACCAGATTGCAGTAAAACAGCACCAAGATCCTTTAACGATGCATCAACCTGTATCACAGTGGGTGAATCGGGATCAAAATAATTGAGAGTAGTGAATTCACATATTAGGGTTTTCAGTCTCAAAACAGTTCTCATAACTTTGATTCCATTGAAAAACTGCATCTTTGATTAAAAGTTCTCTTAACATACTGGTATGAGCGCTCAAGTTTGGCACAAAGGAACCCATGTAGTTAGCTATTCCAAGGAATTCTCTCAACTCGCCTGTAACTGTACGTTTCATAATTGCATGTATCCTAAGGGCCTTACTCCATTTATGCCGTACCTCGTTCCGAAGAAAGGGATTTCTGTTCTTCTAATAAGACACTTGAGGAGTTAAAAACTAAACCATACTCATTCGCAACGTGGACCAAGTTATGTAAGCGTTCATTGTGTTCCTTAGCGTTCTTACCAAATACACATATATTATCTGCAATACCAATGCATCCGGGACATCTTTCTAGGATCTCGTCCATTCTTGCCTGGAAAATATCCTGGGAAACGTTTAAACCAAATGGTAGTGACAGGAATCTATATGGGCCAAATGGGGTATTAAATGTTGTGAGCCAAGAAGAGGGCTTATCTAGAACAAAGCTCCAATATCCTACATTCGTATCCAACTTAGAAAAGACTGTAGAGCCTTTAAAAAGGTGAGTAATTTCTTTAAGTGTAGGGGTTTTGTGATACGTACGCTTAACGGCTCTGTTGGGTTCGGGCACACACGTAGGCTTCCATCACTTTTCTCGCTAAAAGTAAGGCTCGATATCTACTCAGTAATGGTTCCACCGCAAATCTTTGAGATTATTCCATTTTCTGTCATTGAGTCTAACTCATTTCAGATCTTATCTTTGAGATGGATGGCATGTCGGGTCTGTTACGATGTGGTAGGCACCAGGAAAGCGACCAATCTTATCAAACTATTTGGGTATTGTTGTCTCTTCTGTGGATGGTGTTCCATCAACATTCAAATCATGGGTAGAGTGACTGTCATGATATTCTTATCGCAGTTGACAGTTATCAGATTCAGTTTTGCACTCGTTGAAAGACCAAGCATTGCTGGTTCCGGTGTGTCTGTGATGAAGAATGATTCGGTTCTGAACTCGTCTTCTCTGTATTTGACAAGAAGGTCGATGGTACCATACTGTTTTATCGTTGTACCATTGTAGGCTGATAAAGTGATATGGCATGCAGGTTTCACTGAGCCTATTTTGGGGAATCCATGCTCATTAATTCTGTGAAGGGTACACCATACTGTAAGTCTGTAATGGTATAATGTTAGGAACCTGACCTGTATCGACTTTGGTGTAGAGGGTAGCCTTTGGACAATGTTCGAATTTGATGATCAAGTTGGCGTGTATACTCTTGCTTTCTCAACTTTCTACGTCAACGTAATACTGAACACTAGTCTCTGGAAGTCTTTTCCAAGTTCTTGGATTTCATCTACTTGGCGTTGGTATGCTCTCCTCGTAGAATTTCTG